TGTTTGGGTCAGGGAAGTGAGGATATCTGTGCATACATCTGTGTGTGTGAGCATGCGTGCATGTGAGCGTGAGAGCATCCATGCAAGCAAGTGGATGTGGTCCATGTGTGTGTGCATGTGCGTGCGTGTGTGCACCCAGAGTCCTGAGGAAGACACGGAGTGCCCTGCTCTGTCTCTCTCTGTCTTTTTCCTTTGGACAGGGTCTCTCCCTGAACCTGGGACTAGGCTGGCAGCCAGCAGTTCCCAGCAATCCTCCTGCCTCCACCCTCCGCAGTGATGGGTTACGAGTGTGTGCACATGTCCGTACATATGTGTGGAGGCCAGAGGTCAGTCTCACATGTCGTTCCTCAGACACGCTCTGCCTTGTTTTCAGATCATCTGTCAGTGGGATCTGAGGCTGACTGGCCCATGAGCCCTGGGTCTCTGCCTCCCAGGGATGACAAGCCTGCACAATCACACAAGCCTTTCTTTCAGTGGTTCTGGATATCTTCATGTTTGCACAGCAAGACCTTTACTGGCTGAGCCTGTGGGATTTGTGTTCTTGTCTGAGTTGTAAGGCACAGCGTTAGCTGTTTGGCTGATGCTCCATCCTTTGGTACTAAGCCCACAGCAGCCCCCAAGTATGCTTCCTGCAACCTTGAAGTGAGATCCCGCTGACAGAATCCTGCCGAGAAATACCTTGTAGGGTTTTTACCTTTGCTTTCTAGGGTTTCCTGCTTCCAAGGCATTGGGGCAGGCCTCTGACCTCAGGTTGGTCTTTGCCTCATTATGTAGCCCAGGCTGGCCTCAAACTGAAGATCACCCTGGATTCCTGGCTCTACTCCATCTGCTACCAGGAAGACCTATCTTTAGTTCACTTTCCAATCCTCTAAATATCTCAGGAGACCCTGGGGCTGGGGGGAGGAGGGAAGCTTGCCAGGTCAGACCAGAAGTTGCTTTGCTCTAGCTCTCAGGCTGGAGGATGAGTCAAGGGAAGGGGGCATTCTTCGCTGATGTGAGGTTTCCATCTCAAGTGAAATCTGCTCTGGGGTTCATCTGCTGAACCCAGAGAGCTGACACAGCCCACAAGCCCCTTCCAGGTAAATAAAGGAGACCTCTGACTCACGCAGCTGAGGCATCGCTGCTTCTCACCATCTGCCTAGAAACACAACACAGGTGTGTCCCACCAACAGACGCGGCCACTGGGATGGGTGAGAGGGGACCTTTCCCAGACTGTTCCGGCTGCCCCGCCAGCCCCTGCTGGGACCCCACGTGGTGAGGCTTACTTTACTGCTTCAGGCCTTGCTCCTACTCATTCAGCACACGGGGTCCCTACAGAGATCTCAGGCCCCACAGCCACCACAGATACCTGCATTCCCGCTGCAACTCCTCTCCAGGAGGCAGACAACTGGGCGGTGCCACTTTCTCAGAACCTGTCACTCTGCTGTATGGCTTCTTACTTTAGTTTGTCATAAAATCCCTATTTTTCTTGATTTTTAATATTGAAAGCCGATCAACTAAAATAGTCTCCCAGTGGAGAATACTTACATGGCTAAGACAAAAATCCAAGCATATATAGTAAAAACCTAATCTCCTTTCCCCCTCCTTTAGCCTCCAGAATTGCCCCTGACACTGCTGCTCCCTCAGCGAGCTTGTCCCTCCAGAGATATTCAGACCCTCTTACACACAACCTATTCACAAATGGCAGCATCCTGCGTCCGTGGACCTCACGTGACTCTCGGGGTTTGTGTTGAAGCAGGTGTTTGGTAACTTGGTCAGGTTCACCGTAGTTCAGTTCACTCTGTCTGGACTGAATGGAACTTCATAAAGGGCATCTTTCTTTCCTCCACATTCAAAATGAAAAGGAGACGGTGCACTTTTCACGTCAGTGGAAAAAAAATCATATCTTCAAATACCAAATTTCCGCCATGCCCAGGGTCCAACCATACGTGAGTCTCTGTGGCCTGGGTGTGTCTAAAGGTCAGAAGGGCTCTACAAGAGTCCATTGTGAATAACATTGGAAGGCTCTCTCCTTAGAAACAGCCCATGGGCTTAGCCACACGGGCTAAGCTCCGACCTCTGTGAGTTCACAAAAGCGGTGGGGCTGGAAGACAGATCCCAGGCACGAAGAGGCAGAGCAATGTTTCCCGACTTTGGCCTCCTCTTGGGGTCAGCTTTGTTAACTTTTCGCACTGGGACAAGGAGGATGAATATGACTGTCCTGGGGTCCCTCATTTATGACCTCCAAGGGTTTGCTTTCATATTGCCACATGGCATGTCCTCCCATGCCAGGGAAGATAAGCCTTGTGTTACAAGCCTCGTGGGATAAGTGGCAATTCCTGCTTTCTCATCTGTCAACCATAGACATATGAAATTACACATTTTAGGGGTTATTGATTTATTTTCTGACTTCCTAGCTTATATTTGAAACAGAGTCTCCAATACCTCAGACTGTTGTGCATCCGGGGTGAGGTGAAATAACCTTGAACTCTGACCCTCCTGCCTCCATCTCCCAGCTGCTGGGATTACAAGCACATCTTAGCGAGCTCAGTTTGTGTGGTGCTGAGGATCGAACCCAAGGCTTTGGATTTCCTAGGCAAGCACTGTCACCACACAGCTGGCGCACAGCCACGGCCTCGGTCTCGAGGTGATGGTTGCTAGGTTCAGAAAGTGCTATGTGGCAGTGACTGGTGCTGACCAACTTGAATGATGCCGAAAGGGCGGCAGCAAGGCTCCTCCTCAGAGAGCAGGGTTCTGCAGCTTGAAGCAAGGAATGCCTATGCTTTTCCTAGAATTGAGGGCTCCATCGCAGCCTGGGTGGTCCAGAGCAGGTAGCCTCAGCCCAGTCCATCGCAAAAGAGGCTGACTAAGAGGCAGAATTCACAGGCAGGTGATGCAAGAAGGTAATGATGGCTGGGCCTGGGTGAAACCATCTTGAACAAGGTGCGGTGGGTGTGGAAAACTCCCTCTGTTAAAAACCGTGAGCTCGGGTTTTTTCCGTTTCTATGGGGAAGGAGGCAGTGGCATCCAGGAAGTGTGCTCTGAGATGCCCGCAGACTTCTAAGGTTCTAAGATTGTCTGTGGTTTCAAGCAGCAGAGGAGCAGGCCCGGAGGAGCAGTACGGAGTTGAGTGACCAGCACATCCTGGTTGGGAAACAAATGGGAAGGGGACAGTTTTATTACCCAACCTATGGGGAAATGTCCTCTTTTCTCATTTTTGCCCGTAAGAAAATAAGAAAAAGAATAAGGGATAGGTTAGGGCTGGGAATTGCTGGATAGATTAGCCACTCAAACCAAGGGCAGCAGGCTGGCTGAACCCATCCTCCGCCTGGGGTCAGCTGGTCCCTCTGTACACAGAGAGCCTGGGTTACAGCGATGCTTCCTCTTTACTGAATTGGCTGTGAGATGATCAACCCAATGTGGTTGGCATGGAGGCCTTTCCCACACAGAATTAAACCCAGGAAAGTCCAGGGTACCGTGAAACGGGAGTAGGGGGCTATGCTGGTTATTTTCCTCATGGCTAGTGACCCGACAAGAAGCGACTTACGTGAGAAAGAAATCACAGGTTCTTCTGTAATGGAGCTCAGTCTTGGCTCCAGGCTGCAAACTTTTCCTCTTAGGAAAGCGTCTCTATGATCTTAGCAACACTCAAGCTGGACAGTACTGAATGCTACCTCATGGCGCCTTCTGACCTCAACAGGGTGGCCCTTCCTCCCCTACAGGAGATGAGGGAATTGTTTTGGCAGCCATGGGAAGCCGTGGTGGCAGGAGCTTCGGTTGCTCACAGGCATCTGGGAGTTGGAAAGTGGAGAGCAGTGTGTGGCGATCTGCTCACTGTCACCCTTTCTGTCTGGGACTCCAGCCTGTGAAACGGCTCCATCCACATTCAGAGTGGGGTGTTTGTTTTTCTGTTTGTTTTCTTAAAGACAGGGTTTCTCTGTGTAGCCCTGGCTGTCCTGGAACTCACTCTGTAAACCAGGCTGGCCTTGAACTAGAATATCCATTTGCCTCTGCCTCCCAAGCGCTGGGATTAAAGGTGTGCGCCACCACTGCCCTGCTAGAGTGGGTCTTCCTACCTTGTTAAAATCCCTCCCACGGGACTAGAGAGATGGCTCAGTAGTTTAGACCATTTGCTGCTCTTCCAGAGGTCCTGAGTTCAATTCCCACTGCCCACATGATGGCCCCAGCCATCTGTAACTCAAGTTTCAGTGAATTCAACACCCTTTTCTGTTTAGGCACACACATGGTACACAAGTATGCACGTAGGCAAAATATCTGCACACATAAAATAAACAAATCTTGCTGGGTGGTGGTGGCACACGCCTTTAATCCCAGCACTCAGGAGGCAGAGGCAGACAGATCTCTGTGAGTTTGAGGCCAGTCTGGTCTACAAGAGCTAGTTCCAGGACAGGCTCCAAAGCCACAGAGAAACCCTGTCTCGAAAAACAAAAACAAAAAACCAAATCTTTATAGAAATTATAAACAAATATCAAATCCCTCACAGATGTGTTGAGATATTTGTTTCCATGGTAATTCTAAATCGCACCAAAAAGTAAAGAGATACAAGCACTGGTCTTGCAGAGGACTCAGTCAGGGTGGTTCCATGTCAGGATAGCCCACAGCCACCTGTAGTGCCAGCTCCAGGAGATCCAATGTCCGCCTCAGGACTCAACAGGCTCCTGCATTCACACATGTACCTTCCCACACACTAACACATGTGCACATAACTTTAGTGTTGTGTAGGTGCACGCCTTTAATCACAGACTCAGGAGGCAGAGGCAGACAGATCTCTGTGAGTTGCAGACCAGCCTGGTCTACATATTGCGTTCCAGAGCAGCATTCCAGGCCTGCATATTGAGACCCTGCTTCAAAAATAAGAAATGTTTTAAAAGATAGCTTGAGTGAAGATAGAATTTAGTAGACCCCCAGCCGGTGTTTGCTTCCTCCTGTCGGCTCCACACAGCCGGAGAGAACTGCAATCTTCTAAGGTTAATGTGGCCGTGTTTCCCCTTCTGCTCCAGGCCCTCACCATGCCCACCATCTTCCCGGAACTGGATCTGGAGAACTTTGAGTACGATGAATCTGCCGAGGCCTGCTACGTGGGCGACATTGTGGCCTTCGGGACCGTCTTCCTGTCCGTCTTCTACTCCCTCGTCTTTGCCTTCGGTCTGGTGGGAAATCTGTTGGTGGTCCTCGCCCTCACCCACAGCCGGAAGCCCAAGAGCATCACCGACATCTACCTCCTGAACCTGGCCTTGAGTGACCTGCTCTTTGTGGCCACCTTGCCCTTCTGGACTCACTACCTGGTCAGCGAGGAAGGCTTCCACAACGCCGTGTGCAAGCTCACCACTGCCTTCTTCTTCATCGGCTTCTTCGGGGGTATATTCTTCATCACCGTCATCAGCATCGACAGGTACCTGGCCATTGTCCTGGCCGCCAACTCCATGAACAACCGAACGGTGCAGCATGGGGTCACCATCAGTCTGGGCGTCTGGGCGGCGGCCATCTTGGTGGCAGCACCCCAGTTCATGTTCACGAAGAGAAAGGAAAACGAATGTCTGGGTGACTACCCCCAAGTCCTCCAGGAAATCTGGCCCGTGCTCCGCAACTCGGAAGCAAATATCCTGGGCTTCGTGCTGCCCCTGCTCGTCATGAGCTTCTGCTACTTCCGAATCCTCCAGACTCTATTTTCCTGCAAGAATCAGAAGAAGGCCAGGGCCATCAGACTCATCCTCCTCGTGGTGGTGGTCTTCTTCCTCTTCTGGACACCCTACAACATCGTGATCTTCATGGAGACTCTCAGATTCTACAACTTCTTCCCCAGCTGTGACACCAAGAGGGACCTGAGGCTGGCCCTCAGTGTGACGGAGACAGTGGCGTTCAGCCACTGCTGTCTCAACCCCCTCATCTACGCCTTTGCTGGGGAAAAGTTCAGGAGATACCTTGGACACCTGTACAGGAAGTGCCTGGCTGTCCTTTGCTGCCGTCCTGTCCACGTCAGCTTCACGCCGGAATCCCAGCGGAGCAGGCAGGAGAGCATCCTGAGCAGCTTCACTCATTACACAAGCGACGGAGAGGGCTCTCTCCTGCTCTGAAAGGCCCTGGACTCCTCTGCGAGCCCAGACTTCTCGACTCTGACTCCGGATAATGAGGACAGCCTTTTATTTTTCCCGCTGTGTCCTGTGTGCAAGAAACATGGACTCGATGCCTACAAAACAACCCCACAGTGGTTTTGAAAATTTTCTGTTCAATTCATGAACAATACGCATATTGCTGACTGTAAATGCTGAACATCGGGGCTTACGTGTGACAAAGCTTCTAACCCGATTGGAAAAGTCACAAAGGGGTTGCGAGGGTCATTCTAGTGATCATGTTGAGGAGAGGCTGATTAAATCCTCAGACTGAGAGGAAAAAAGCTTTGAATCCAGCTAGAACGTCCCCTCTCTGACCTTCAGATCTCTGAGTACTGACAGGTCCTCCAGGCACACATTCCATAACTTCAGCAGCAGAGAAGGTCCTGCTCTCTCTCTGATTTCAAGGTCAGCATTCCCAGGGAAGGAGTTCCATTGGCCAAGTTGTATCGCGTGCCCATCCCTTGATTCCTCTTGAGGAAGAGACCTGGTCAGTCGTCCTCACCAACTTAGACCTTGAAACCCTATATGGTCAAGTTTAGCAGAACCGCCATATATGGGCTGCCTGTGCATGCTTCAGCATTACCAGGGCATACATTTCATTCATTCATTCATTCATTGAAATAGAACTGATCTAAGATATTATTGGAATCTGAAGGTTAGAGGTTGAGGAAGATATATTTCTAAAAAACTGGAGGGTGGGAACTACCCTGATAAGACAGAATAAAAATTGCTCATCTGCTTTGCCACAGAACAGACTGACTCAGGCTCTCCCCTCAGCAACCAGCCTGTGTCTACTGCCAGCTTCTTCATTAAGCCCATCTTGAGAATGTCCTGGAAATTCCAAGGACTCCCACTGACCACTACATCAAACGTAAACTCAAGGGCCTGGCCTCTGAGATCAGGTACATAAGATGCAGTTCTAAAAATAGACTCTACATTGCCTCCTCCACCTTCCCAAAGGACGCCACCCACGCTGCTGCCAGGTCCCTTCCGTTTGTCGTTGCCCATATCCCTCCACTTCTCTCAGCATCCCCCCACCGGGAGGAAGGGGAAGATAGAAAGAATCTCACCCCAGAGTGAAGGGATGGATTTATATCCCAGCTCTGTCGCTTGTAATTGGGGAGACCAGAACCAACAGAACTTCAGCCCCCTCGCCTATAGAAAGGGGACGGTGGTGGCCTCATCTATTCTAGCATGGCAAATCAGCCAGGAATTTAGCTTTCCCTGTGCCTGGCACTGTTGAGCTGCCTCTGAGTGACAGCGCAGATGGAGTGGGAGGAGCCTGCAGGACATAGCCAGACAAGAGACCCCCATTCCTACAGTGATGCTCAGCAGCACCTAGACCTACAGACCCCTAACCATCTCCCTGCTGCCAATCAAGAGCCAGGTTGTGACAGCAGTTTACTTTCTGCCCTCAACCCGAAAGCATCATGTGATCTAACCACGGGAGGCCCTCACAGTTGCACTCACTGACTGGAGCCTCCTTTATAGTCCGATATTGAGAATTCTGGGACGGCACAGTTCTGTAACTTGCTTTCTAAAAAACACTGGGTCCCAAATTGCTCTCCATTCCTGTGTAGCACTGTAATAACCATTTTAGAAGTCTCCCCCAGATGGTGGCACTGAGGAAGTTGTGGCATGTGGCTCACTGTGGCGCGTCTGACATCTCCTTGGCAATCTGCGTGTTTGTTCCAAGGGTGGCAGACGGAGTCACAGCCCTCACAGGCACATCCAGCATTTTGACATTGCAACACGATGCTGTCTTCTACAGCGATCACAACTGAGAACCTCAAAATTTAGTTACCAAAGTGGGGAAACAGGAAAGATGGCTCAGTGGTTAAGAGCACTGGCTGCTATTCCAGAGGACTGGGGTTCAATTTCCGGAACCCACATAGTGTCTAACAATGATCTTTAGCTCCAGTTCCAGGTGATCCCACAGCCTCTCCTGGTTTCTGAGAACACCAGGCAAACACATGGTGGACAGACATGCATGCACAAAAAATAAGTGAAAATAGAAACAAAATCAAAACCAGAAAAACTGGTTTGGTTTTTCAAGACAGGTTTTCTCTATGTAACCCTGGCTGTCCTGAAATTCTTTGTAGACCAGGCTTGCCTAGAACTCACAGAAATCACCTGCCTCTACCTCCCAAGTGCTGGGATTAAAGGTATATGCCACCATGCCGGGCTTAGTAAATAAATTTTTAATTTCAAAAATCTCATAGGTTTTAAGTAAGTTTATGTTGGTGTTGCTCTGTGGTCACCGCTGTCCAGGGCTGCATGGCTAGACACACCTACACTACGTCTATTTTACTTATAATTCTGTTGATACACATTTGGCTTCCTTCCTGTTTTCAGCAAATACAAATCTCACAGCACTTTAATCTGTGGAATTTTCTCTTTCCTGTTCAGTTATTTCTACGAGATAAGTTCTTTGCCGTGGGGATAACTGCACCCAAGGGTGTGGGAATGCTTCAGCTTCTCTCTCTAAGTATATACAATTTTATCAGAAAGCAAAGCCTACCCACGGGTTTAAATCACAACAAGTGAGAGGCAGAGGTAGGTGGATCTCTGCGAATTCAAGACCAGCCTAGTCTACAGAGCAAGACCCTGACTCAAAAAAGGGGGGGAATGCAAAGTTCTATAGGATAGACCAGCTAGTCCTGAGTCTGAGGCATGCATCATCATCTTGACTAATCAGGAAGTAATGACTGTAATCTATCAGATGCAGCCATATTGTCTCTCTGCAGCGCCACCTTGAACACCAACCACAGTAAAAGCTGTTTCAGCTTCTTTGAAAAGTTTCAACCCTGACTGATTGATCAATTGTGTGTATATGTATAAATGTGTATATGTGTGCGGACACGTGTGTGTGTGTGTGTGTGTGTGTGTGTGTGTGTGTGCCCATGAAGGAACTCAGAAGACAAATTACAAAAATCAAGGCTTTCCTTCCATCAGGTGGGTCCTGGGATCAAACTCAGGTTGTGGGGATTGGTGACAAGTGTCTTTATCTGATGAACCATCTCTCTAGGTCCCATTTAGTTTCTGGTGCATATGTATAACCTTCATTTGATAATGACAATTTGCTACTAAAAAGCACATATTCCATATTACATGGGAGCTAGGCTCCAGAGAAGTTTACAAGACAATGAGACCATAGCTCTGCCCTCAAGAATTTTTTATTTTTGAGATTGAGTCTCAGTATGTACCCCTGGCTTGCCTGGAACTCGGAAATCTGTCTGCCTCTGTCTCCGAATGCTGGGCTTAAAGGTGTGCCCACCACACCGATCTTGATCTCTGTAGACAGAAGCGTCTCGAACACGTTTGCTTGCTGTGTGTTAGCTCAGAGGTAACAATGTCTGACCCAAGACTTTAGAGATAAGAACTTCTCTGGGTAAGGAAGGGTCTGTGGTGCCAGAAGGACGGGTGTGAATTCATGGGAGAACACAAGACTCTTAGAATGCAAGCTAATCCCACAAAGACCGGGAGGCAAGACATCAGTAGCATAGATGGAAGGACATTTCTTGGCCTGACATTGCTGTACGTGGGGTTTCCTCAGCCAGCAGAGGGTGGTGTCCAAGTCGTTGCTCCTTCGATGCCAGATCCTCATACCAGCTGTTGAGCCATGAGAGTTTTCATTAAAGTTGAACCTGTTTCTGAACTCCATGTAGGGAAGAACAAACTCTCCTGGACTGAAAAACAAAAATAGGGTAGCAAATGCTTTCTTTTCTACAAACCAATTAACTGCACTGAGCAAGCGAGATGGCTCAGCGGATAAAGGGGCTTGCCACCAAGCCTGTCAACTTGAGTTCGATCCTCCGGCTCACAGGGTACAAGGAGTGGAGAAACAACTTCCACTTAGCTCCACACAGGTGCTATAGCATGTGTGTGCTCTTGAGCATGCACACAGACACATAATAAAAATAAATCAATACATCAGTATCCTGTATCCCCTCATTCACTTTGTTGAACAGGACAGGCTGAGGCGAACACAGGAAATTTCACCGAAAACACCCACATGGCAAGGACACATTTGAAGCCATTGGCTGTCGACACAATCTGATCAGACCCTACTGCTGCCTCGGAGCTCTGAGTTCCAATGTGCAGGAGATGCGTGACAACCCAGCACACTGCCCTGAGGCCCTCAGCCAGTTCCTTACATTCTCAGAGGCCCCATATTCTTATCAGAGAGGAAGAAGCCCAGAGCGCTCCCACATCCTGGCTCTGTGAGGGTTAGTAAGACCCCTTTAGATGCGCATCTGGCTGTGAGGGTTCAAGCATCACCCTGTTTCTCCTGGTCCCCTCCTTTCTGCAGGACGACACACCCACTAGGTTGTCCTTGCCTCTTTGTTTTTCTTAGTTCCAGGATCAGAAGTAACTGGGTCCAAACGCACACTTTGGCTAGGCTGGCTTTTGTGATGGGTTGGTTGGGGCAGCGTGTGTGTGTGCATTCTGTTTGTCTGTATATGTGTGCCTGTGTGTGTATGTCTCTGTGTGTATGTGTGTGCCTGTGTGTATGTCTCTGTGTATATGTCTGTGCCTGTGTGTATGTCTGTGCATGTGTGTGTATGTCTCTGTGTGCATGTGTGTGTATGTCTCTGTGTGCATGTGTGTGAGACAGGTCAACCCCAGGCTTCGTTCCAGGAGTCATCCACTTGATGTTTGAGGCTCTCTCTCTCTCTCTTTCTCTCTCTTTCTCTCTCTCTCTCTCTCTCTCTCCCTCTCACTGGAGTTTCACCAGTTAGGCTAAGCTGGCTGTCCAGGAGCCTGAGGGATCTGCCTGTCTCTGATTCCCCTGTACAAGGACAACACATGCACACCAGCCTTTTACACTTGGGGTCAAACTCAGGCCCTTGAATTTTCACGGCGGGCACTCTACTGGCTGAGTCACTTCTCCAAACACACGCTTTGTAGCTAAGGAAAAGACGGCCAGTCAGGGACCGTGGCAAACCCCTGAAAGGGCAGGTCCCAGCCTCCCAGCGCCCTGCCTTCCTCCCTCACCTTGGTCGTACGTAGTACAGGCCCTCTGACCTCGAGGAGCAGAGACCACAGGCAGGTCACAGAAAACTGAGGAAGAGAGGAGCTGCAGGGGCATGACCACGGAGAGTCTGAGGCGCGTGACCTAGACTGTCCCTAATGGAGTAAGCCTGTGCACACAGGTGCGGGCTATGCTGCAACCTTCAGTGACATCACTGTATGTAAGGACAGATGGCACACCCCGAAAGCATCATCTGTTAAAGAACATAGGATGCCCAGAGGCTAATGCAATCAGCAGCCTTAGGAAGGGCCCAGACCTCAGACAGACACGGGCGATGCCAGGGAGAGCTATGTCCAAGTGCCATCCAATGCTCGGGCTGAAGGCTGAGTTCATTCACTTCAGTCCAAGCTCACCAAGGGACAAAGTGACTCCTCCCTGGAGACCTTAACACTCATAAGTATAGACAGCATGTACTTTCCACACAGTGGCTGGATTGTGGGCGGCGTCTCCTGACTTTCCATGCATCTCTCTGAAGCACTGTCCTTGAGTGTCTAGGGAAGAGTCTGGCTACCTCTGGCCCCTAAATGACAACTACATATGGACACATGGCAGCTTGATCGAGAGGACCATCTTGGGGACACCAAGCCCTAGGAGATCCTGTTCCTGCCCTCAAAGACTTCAGGGGAGTCTTTCCTGACTCAGAACCTAATTTTCTTCTCCACTGCACCCCACTCTTTGGCTCCTGGGCACTCCTGCAGCTCCAACTTGACTGAAGGTACTGTTTGTAAATCTGGCTGAATAGGCAACCTCATTTGGGGGCAATCCTGATACTGATAGACAAAAGTTGATCTCAGCACATTTAGAAATAGCCAGCTTCAGCAGGTAGGGGAGGCCCACACCTTCAATCCCAGCACTCGGGAGGTGGAGGCAGGTGAGTCTTGTAAGCATGAAAGAAATCAGAGAATGAAAGAGTGGAGCCTCTGGAGTCCCCACTTGTCTTCTGGAGTCTGGGGCACCACGTCCTCACATCTCAGTTGGTAAAGCGTTTGCTGATTAAGCATGAGAAGCTGAGTTCAGTCCCCAGAACTCGTGTGAAAGAGCTGGGTGCAGGGCAGGGGAGGTGGCTCGGCAGGTAAAGGAGCTTGTTGCCAAGTCTGGTGATCTGAGTTCAATCCCTGATACCCACATGGTGGAGGGAGAAAACCAACTCCCACAAGCTGTCTTCTGACCTCACGTGTGCCTGTGACACACGTACTTACAATAAATAAGCAGAGGAGAAGAGCCATACAGTGTGTAATCCCAGTGCTGGGGGTGTGGAGACAGGCGACTCCCTGGGGTTTTCGGACCAACCAGACTAGCCTAATCGATACCAGAGCAGCAAAAGACCCTGTCTCAAAACAGAAGGTGAATAACACCCGAGGACAGTAGCCGAGGCTGACCTCATGTGCACCTGCACACACACACTCACTCAAGTATGTGCACCTGCCCACATGCACACACATGAACAAAACACACACGTGAACACACAAAACAAGCCAAGTAATTAAAACTACTTTTTAGAGCTCACGTTGAGGAAACAGTGAAGTGTTGTCTGTCCCGTAAGTCACAGGCATTTTCTCTGCCTGCCTGGTCATCTTTCCTATTTCATGAGACAAAATCCACAATGGGATTTATTGTTTTATTCATTCATTCATTCATTCATTTTGTTTTGTTTCTGAGAAAGGGATTCTCTGTGTAGCCCTGGATGTCCTGGAACTCACACTGTAGACCAGGCTGGCCTCAAACGCACAGATCCACCTGTTTCTGCCTCCTGGGTGCTGGGATTAAAGACGTGCACCACCACTGCTCGGCTAATGGGTTTTATTTACTTCTACTCATTGTCTTTCATTTTTAATGTGTGTCAGGGGGAGGAAGATTCATGACATCAACCCACAGTGCACTCAGGCTTCTGAGGACACCCGGTGTGAGTCGGTGTCTCCCACCTCGTTCTGAGAGAGGGCTCCTCTTATT